AAAGTCGTGGTGTGAATTTATTCAAGCCAGGAAAAGCAGGAGGGATAACTTATGGAAATCGTCTTTCCAATTTGATCCAGTGCGACGTTGTGAAAGGAGCGACTCTGTCGTCTCATCTATGTCTAGTTTGTAAGAGAAAGATTGATAGCGCAGAAAAATCCGCCAATAATGTAAAACAGTGGCGTGAAATTGTCAGTCATTCTAATATCTCCCAACCTGTGAACGAAAGAGTTAAGCGTGCTGCCTTGAAATCGCCTGCCAAAACTAAAATGGCGCGTGTCACGTGACTTTAATTACTAAAGATAGCGTGGGCGTTTGATTGACACTCAACTCATTAGTATTCCACCAATCACAGCTACATCTACTTTCTGGATGTGCGCAGTCAAATTGTATAGGAGACAAGCTGGAGTCTCGTGTGGCGATAGCGATAACACCGGGACGAATGGTCTGGGGTAATTTAGGTGCAGTTCCCGATAAACTATCGAGATGAATCTAATCTACTAATGACCATGTCAATCATTGCAACACGCACTGAACCCAGACCGGTGACAATCATCACTGGTGCCGCAAGAGGGCGTCTACAAAGATCACAAGTCTCTTGCGTATTTCGTAGTAACCTGACTTTCATGGTATATTATTTTATTGGGAAAACACCAAAAAATAAACAAGAGACTGTATGCAATTCTAATTCATACTAAATATTAATGTTCGTTTATACTTGTAGGCATTTGAGGTAGCATTACATCCCCTAGGACAGTTAGTTGCCAGTTTAGTTGATGTCTACAGGGCTACTTATGTTGGTATTGGAGCAAACCGAATACTGTTAACCTATGCTGTATCTGAAATTAAATCATATGTCACAAGGCTTTATAAAATTCTAAGGTGAGAATCCTATTCAATTTTGTTGAGAAGATTTTATTTAATGAGGCATTTCCGAAAACCAATCAAAAGCTACAGTGTTACATAATTAATGTGATGATGAATCATATTCAAGTTTGTAATGTTACTTTCTACACAAAATTAAAAATATTGTCATTTTATTAATATATTTTCATATTTAGTATATCATGTTACAATGAAATGAAATAAAAATGTGAGATCACTGTAGTCAGTTCAGTGAAAATAGATAAATAAAATACAGTAAAAATAGCATGTTTTGTCTGTTTTAGGGCATTTTAACAGTGCTCCCTCTGACAACAATAAATCTCAATATCTCAAAATTTTGCTTGGTGTTTAGAAGTATTAAAAGATATTTTAGTGGATTTTTTAACATGTTTCATTGTGGTCCATTGGAAACCACTGCTAACACAGCATTTTATTTGTAATATTTCACCATTTTTCTCACAAATCAGATTGACAGTGAACACATTTTGTTTACTAAATTGATGTGTTAAAATATGTAAAATATGTAAAAAAAAAACCTTTAGTAGATTTTTACCCTTAAAAAAAACTATTAGAATGAAAGATGAGGTGTGATAATGATGGACAAAAAACTGTTGGCGTTGATATTCACTTCAGATTATTTTAATATTTTTGTTACAAATTGATAGGATTTTATTTCCTGGTTTGCCGAGTGAAGAAACCGAAGTGAAGCCATCACAGAGTCCAACACGTGAGAATCCATATGGATACAGTTCCATGCATGGATATGCAGGAATGCAATTATCACCTGTGGAAAAGAATGATGAAAAGTAAGTGCCCATATAATAATTGTATAGTAATAATTGTTCTGATTCCGCTTTGACAAGGGTCCAATAATTCCGCTTTGACTAGGGTCCAATAATTCTGCTTTGACTAGGGCCCAATAATTCCGCTTTGACCAGGGTCCAATAATTCCGCTTTGACCAGGGTGAAATAATTCCGCTTTGACCAGGGTCCAATAATTCCGCTTTGACCAGGGTCCAATAATTCCGCTTTGACCAGGGTTCAATAATTCCGCTTTGACCAGGGTCCAATAATTCCACTTTGACTAGGGTCCAATAATTCTGCTTTGACTAGGGTCCAATAATTCCGTTTTGGCTAGGGTCCAATAATTCCGCTTTGACCAGGGTCCAATAATTCCGCTTTGACTAGGGTCCAATAATTCCGCTTTGACCAGGGTCCAATCATTCTGCTTTGACCAGGGTTCAATAATTCCGCTTTGACCAGGGTCCTCTAATTCTGCTTAGACCAGGGTCCAATAATTCCACTTTGACCAGGGTCCAATAATTCTGCTTTGACCAGCGTCCAATAATTCCGCTTTGACCAAGGTCATGTAGCTGAAACCCATAGTACATAAGATGTTTATATACAATATGCCAATTGGATATGTTCAATATTTAGTGACTACATGAATGCAGTACACATGAGTTTGTATTCACAATTACTATATCATAATATTTTATTGCAGGAAACTTCACATCACAAGTGCTGGTTTATTACATCCAGTGTTGCTGCCACGTCTCTATCCACCGTTGTTTACACTCTATGCATTACAGAATGAAAACCTTGATGATAAATACTGGGAGAGGATATTGAGATTGAATAAGCAATCTGATATTGCACTCATGGCATATTTAGGAGTCAATCTGTAAGTTATAAATGATTTATTGAGTACTGATTTATTGATTTGAGAAAATGATTTATTGAGTACTGATTTATTGATTTGAGAAAATGATTTATTGAGTACTGATTTATTAGTTCCCGTTCAGACAAAGTCCGAAAACAGGGACTTATAATTTGGTCTCTGTCCGTCCGTGCGTCCATGCGTCCATGCGGAGTCTGATCTCAGAATCCCTTGGACCGATTCCGTTCATTCTTTGCATGTGCCTAGTACTTTATGTGGGACATATGCACATGCAGTGGTTTAGCGATTTGATTCAAAATGGCCGACTGGCAGCCATCTTGTTTTTTGAAAATGTTGTATTTTGGACATGCTTTGTCAGTTTTCATTCAAATTTAGTACATAGATCATACATGTTAGGATACATGTCCCCGACCGTTTGTGAGTTCTTGAGTCTGTCCGTCCATCTGTCGTGTGTCCGTCCGTACGTCAGTCTGTCCAGAGTCATATTTCAGAAACCTGTGAACCGGTTCCGTTCATTCTTTGCATGTCCCTAGTACCTTATGTGGGACATGTGCACATGCAGTGGTTTAGCGATTCCATTCAAAATGGCCGACTGGCAGCCATCTTGTTTTTTTGAAAATGTTGTATTTTGGACATGCTTTGTCAGTTGTCATTCAAACTTGGTACATAGATTATACATGTTAGGATACATGTCCATGACGATTTATTTCGCAATTAGATCAAAGATGGTCGACTGGCAGGCATCTTGTTTTGTTTTTTTATATGTGGTATCTTGGGCTTGCTCTGTCAGTTTTCATTCAAATTTGGCACATACATGTACTTTATACATGTTAGGATGCATGTCCATGACAATTTGTTTCAAAATCTGGTCAAGGATGACCATCTGACTTTTTGGCCATACTACTATATTTCCACAATTTATGTACCATTTTGATTCGTATTTGGCACATACATCATACATATCAGTGTGTTTCATAATCAGATCAAAGATGGCCGAATAACGGCTGTTTTTATTTTTGGCCATATTACTACTACACACATGTTTTGATGTAAATAAACAATCTGTTGTATACGCCACTTGGAACTCAAGTTTCAAGGACACGCTCGCGACAACCCCTCCGCTTTAATATGACGAGCACAAAGAGAACTTTCAAAAATTTTACAGGGACTGTGTCATTTTCAATGACTTGTTGATTTGAGAAAATAATTTATTGAGTACTGATTTCAGAAAATGATTTATTGGGTACTGATTGGTTGATTTGAGAAAATGATTTAATGAGTACTGATTGGTTGATTTGAGAAAATGATTTAATTAGTACTAATTGGTTGATTTGTGAAAATGATTTTTTGAGCTTTTGCACATAACACGGGATCTGGAGAATTTTGCAAAATTTTCTATCAACATGCTATTACATTAATTATCCACTGAAAGATAAATAAGCAGACAGACTGTTGGATGAATTTAATTTTTTATAATGTAAATATGTAAAATTTTTCTTAAAAACACTTATTTCAAATTTATTTTTTCAGAAAATTCTGGTTATTTGATGATTCAGCCGTGTCAACTACAAAAAAAGTAAGTTAAAGTTTCTTTCAAATTTTATATAGGTATATGTAGTAATGTAAGAATCTTGTACAACATCTGTGCACAAAGTTTCAGGGAAGCTGTGCATGATTTAGCACATCACAAGTCATAGTCATAGCTGCCAAATTGCCTAGAGTATATGTCTGGAGCTGAGAACAGCCAAGTATTAAACCACAGTCACTCTATCCCCGGTCTAGAAACGACTAGCGTTCTTTTGTCTCGAACCATATTGTGGGTAAACAAACAGATTACAATACTGCCAGAATATTCATTAAAATCGGCAAATTTACCGTCATGGAAAGCGATACCTCATTGTGTGACTTCACTTTGACCTCAAATTCGGGCAACTACGACGTAAACAAAACATGTAAACAAAATTAGCACTATGAAATGTGGGGTTTATGAACCCTGATACGCATCCAAACCAGCCTACCAACTTATAAACATCCAGTTCCTGCCATGTAAAGATTAATATCGGGAATTATGTTCATCTTCTAGTTTTAATAGGGCAAAAACTGCACGTACCAACATGTTGACATCGCTATACAAATCTTGTCAAATGGTGTCGTTCATGTTAACGTGGTCAATCGAAAAACCTGTGATATTTCTGATTCTTGGGGGTTCATAACAGTTCAAGTCAACTTTACAACAACTACTGACTTTATTCGATGCATAAGTATAAAACAATGCTTCAATTTTTGTATATAAATAATTTTTTGACACTGAATAGCGTACATTGTCATTTCAAAACGTCGCCATTTGCATTTACTATACCAATTTAACATTACAAAAATGCGGTATGACAAATAACAAATCAGCCGACCAATTTTTAAAGACAAATATTGGTTTCGCGCCAGGAAGTATGGTAAATAAAATAGAGTTCATTTCAATCATCCCGAAATCAAACACGAACAATTTCTTGGTAAAGGTATGAAAATTTGTTGCGAAAATGTGTCGCTGCTGGTAAAATAGATGAATGAAAGAACTACTCGCCGGCTAAAATATGACCTTATACAGATATCCTGATTAAAACATTATGTGAAAAAGCTTAAATTCTGGAATAAACAACTAAGTTGTAAAAAAACGCGCAGCACTGACGATGTCAAAAATAGTGACTGGCTGTGTACTGATCACGTGACAATGCTTTGCCCATACCCGCAATGCGCCTTTGCCAGGGAAGGAGACAAATTCACACCTAGTACAATGACCGTGATTAAACATATATATTCTTGGGCGGAGCTATGCCACAGAATGTTCTTTGTTACTAAGATGTGCACCACTGTACCATGTACTTCTATAGGCTCTGAGATACTGTGGAACGCCAGTAAACAAGCCAATGAAAACAGCTAAAGTTGAGAAAACTGCACAGACCCAACTATGTGACAATCCTGAACAACCAAATCCATATATATGTTGTACATGTAGGGATAATCTTGTTCTACTATTGGGGGAAGTCTCAACAACTATTCAAAAGTATGGTTTTTTCAGAGTTTTGAACCATTGTTGTCATCAGTTGTCACTCCCGAGAATTGCATTCTATCAGCGACAGTTCAAAACATTGTCTTTCTTGTATTCCAGACATTATCTGAAACTAAAGATGAGTGCTATACTGATGCAGTGGAAACTCTACAGCAAATCAGGTGACGCATTTAAAATTATGAAAATGTTGGGAATAATATTTGGTAATCTGTGAAGAGTGTTATTCATCATGCCTTAGTTAGGAAAGAATCTGAATAAATGTACAACATGCTTATTACTCAGGACTGCATCATATTTACTAAAGTGGCTGCCAGTCAGCCATCTTGAATCAGATCAGGAAACAAATATGCTTGGTTGTGTGTTTTTGTATGTCTAAAGTTTGAACATAATCAGCCATGTCTGAGATGTAGAGCAGAATGAACAACGTAATGGTTAATCTATAAATCTGACCAAACAGTGATTTGTGTCTAATGTCTTAAATAAGTTGTGCTTAGTGTGAGGAAAGTACATGTACAGAACAAGGATAAAGTAACAACAGGTTTTGTTTTATTTTCTCACCAGTACTACATTCAGTCCATCGGAGAAGCTGAGAATCCTGAGACAAACATTTGAGACCATAAACCAATCTGTGGAGAATTCTTTAAAGGAAGAACACATGTGGTCCATGGATGACTTGTTCCCCATGTTCCAGTATGTGGTAGTTAGGGCAAGGTATGTGGAAGTAGTCATAACATATCCAGCCATAGATTGTTCATATAACAAAATTACAATTACAAGCCCACGAACACAAACAATGACTGACAACTATAAAAAAACAAAAACAATCTACAATAGAAAAACAATTAACTTACAAGTACATTACACAATACATTTTTGTATAGTCAAATAAGTAGGAAAAAGATATATGGAGCTCTTGTATACACAAAGTGATGTTGGGTGTTTCAAAAAGAGTGAGCACATCTTTCTCAATATGTGGTACATGTACTTACCCTCTATATATCATTCTGAATCTCAACTGACATTTACACCACAGTATATAGTTATACAACAAACAATCCTTGAAAGATGTAATATATTATCTTTCCATTGAGAGAAAAATATTTGTCCTTTTACTGAGGAGTCCTATTCTTTACTCCAAGTTTTCCAAAACACCTGGTCAGTGTTCTCCCCCCTTCAGTACTAATGCTGTGTTCATTCATATTTTTCTATAGAATTCGACACCTTGGTTCTGAAATCCACCTTGTAGATGATTTGATGGAGCCACATCTAGCGAATGGAGAGCTTGGATTAATGTTCACAACTCTGAAAGCGTGTTACTTCCAGATACAGAACGAGAAAGTGGCTTTCTAAGAGATGTGCCTGTCACAGAAGAACAGATGGTACTGGACAGGATGGAGTGAATAGTTAGGAATCAACGATTTATGTCATGTATAAAGTACATTGAATACGCCCTGATAAATCAATTGTAAGACATGTGCCTGACACATAGTCACACACTGGTTCTACTGGACAGAATGGAATAGCTTGATCCAGCTGATTATTGAAAGGAAAAAAGGCAATTCTTTGTGATGTGCCTGTCCACAGTGTTCTATACAGTGACTGTTGATTAATTGATCAGTGTACTGTACTTGTATGTATGTGTATGGGTCACAAAGTACATGCACTGAAATGATCAGATAAATTTGCAATCACAGTCACACTATATTAAAGGTGTGTCAGAAAAAGAAACAGGATTTATGAGTGTGAGTATGTGTGTCATCAGAGGTACCGATAAAAGTCTCTATCTTCATTTATCTCTTGAAATGTGTATCATCTGTTGTTCCAATCAAAGTCATTTATCTGTCTATACAAATTATTACAATATATTTACATTGCTTGTAAAAACACTGAAAGTGCTTATCTCTTTGAGATCAGCTATTTCTTCTATGAGGTAACTTGTGCTGTTGTAAATGTGATATAAAAATAGGTCTTATATGGTCCACAGAAATAATATATATACTAGTACTTAGTTGTCAACTACTTACATAATAGAGAATTTATAGTTTGAAACATTTTTAGGATTTTGTTGTATGTGTGCTTCAGCAAATAAGTTATAATTTTATTTTAAAGATGGCTGCCATATTTGCATAAAAACAAAAGTATAGTCTTATTTTGACACATGAGGGTGTACATGTATATTCATATTAGCTGATTTACCAGTTTTGAAGTTTAGATAAATTGATATTTTTGACATATCGGACTGATTTTGAGTTGTGAATTTAGTGTATGTGCAATAGTTGGCTTTATGTTATTTTGAGTTGCTATGTAAAGTTTTGGGTCTTGAGTTTTGTAAATGTGCTTTCACGCAAGTTTTACTATATTTCGTGTGCTTTTTTTTCTGTATATTTTGTTCTATTGAATGTCATAGCTGCCACTCCTATGAAAATATAATGCTTCAATCCTTCATGGCAATCATGGAATAGTACATTCTGAATTAGGGGTTTAGGCTAGGCTAGATTAGAAAAGTGGAGAGTGTTACTACTTAAACAATACAGCTATTGAGGGTACTTTTTTTTCACACACCAAAAAAAGGCTTAAGGTAGAAGCCTACTCATAAATGCAGATACCCAGAATTTACTCTTGGGCAACAATATAAGGATATTTACTTTAAAAAAAAAGTTGGGGATCACCAGCCTAATTTTTGAGAAAATAATGGTTGTATTTTAGTGGACACTGGCCATTTTATCAGTATTATAATACTTTTACCATAGGTTTATATGGCAAAGATATTATGCCATATCCCAAATTATAATCTGGTGACATAAGTTGAAAAGTCATATATTGTGACTGATACTTTTTTGTTTTCCTGAATTATTTAAAAAATCTGGGTATTAAAAAATGTTAAAAAAGGAAATTTTTCTTTAACATTGTTTTCTATGGGGAAAAATAGCGATTTCTTGAAAATTATTGGTAGGCTTCCAACTTAATACAAATATCAGTGTTGGGCAATTGCTCCGGCCATAATGATTTAGGTGGACTGCACTGAAGCTAAATATGTCTCGTTCAGGTAACTATTTTTAAAAATCTGAGTATATTCCCTCATTCATTTTATGTTAAAAGCCATTTATTTTATTGATTGAAAAGACGGCAGATTTTGAGTGCCATGTAATGAACTCTGGGTTGAATGCCTCATTTTGGTGTCAGAGCGCCCTCAATGTTTGATATTAGAATGTAAGTAAGTGCAAAGATTGTACTTCACAGAGAATATATGGCTGATAAGTAATTTTCAGAATGAACTGCAACTGCTGGAAAAAAATAAAATTATTCTAAAAAAAATAATTCTCACCGCTTCAGAACATATCAATTTTAGGAATGGTGCTTGATTTATTTTTCAGTTATTCATCATCAACATAAACTGCTGTATAAAATAATTTTGGGTTTATATTATGAAATTGATTGTATAAAAGTGCAGTGTTTTTTTGCAGATTTGAAGTGGCAGATGGTTTTAATGAACTTTGTTTTCTTAATTTATTCTTTTGTTTATTCTGCTACTCTGAAAATACTAGTTATAAGCATATGATATTGTGGTGACATTTATCTTGGTACAACTATAACATAGAAACAGGTAGTAGTTAATCACAGTACCTGGTCATATATAAGAAGACATTTCAAGCAATGTATCTTTTATCAATGGATAATCTGAATAACCATTCATAAATAATACATTAACTGAAACGTTATACTGGTTATATTGAATAATATATTTATCAGTCTTGTACATTTCTGCTATTTTTTGTATGACTAGATAAAACAAGTCTACACCTTTAAATCTATTTTGTTTGCATCATGGTTTTTGTTGTATATTTCAATGCACATTTGCTGCATTTTTACTATTATTGTATGTTAAATCCATTGGAAACAAGTTTTATTCAATCAGATAGTACGTAAAAACCTGCCTACACCAAACCAACGATCCCTTTTTCAATGTTACCCTCCCCCCTGGTAGAGACCAAATACATTTTTTTGTCTCTTCTCTATTTGCTTGTATAAAAGACACTTTATAATAATATTTTCAGTTGCTTTGGATGAAAAACCTCTGCACACTGAACCAAATTCCTCAGTACTTATATTGTTTTAAACAGGATTCACTGTATCATAGTTCAACGCAAACATGCCATTATTTTATCTGTTTGCCATTTCTTTTCTTTCTTTCCTGAGTGATAGAATGTAAGCATGTCTTATTTTCAAGTGAGGATACTACACAGCCCACCACCATTTAGCTTGAACTGATTAGTCCATACTATCAAATGTGTTTCTAAGCCCACTTTGTAAACGCTGAAAACGATATGTATTGGGTTTTTTTTTTGTAACACTAGGAATATCACATTAGTGTATTGCTCAACAAGTTTTTTTTAATTTGACTTCATTAGTACTGTTAGTTCGATACCATGCCTTGGGTGATCTGTTGAAGGAAAGGTAATGTTTTTGGTCAAGCCAATTTGTTATTTTCATCTGCAAATCCATTCATATCTTGTTGAAATCCAGTCTACGTGTACTACATTTCTGAAACTTTGGTCTTATTTACAGTAGATATGATGACTTCTAAACCAAAAGATCACTAGCCTGTGGTATCAAACAATTACAGGAGTGTACATTTTATAGTATAGTATTTCTGATGATGTGCAGTGTGTAGTATCAATGTTGAAGAAATAAATTTATTGCTAAGAAAAATTTCGCAGTACTCTGATTTATATTTCTGATTGTCCAGAATGATATGCTACAACTGGAATGTAAGCTAGGAGTTTGATAATCACATTACTGGCTTCAGTTTTTCATGGGGACTGGCTGTAAGTTAAAATACTTGGCCATCAAACATGACACTACACTGATGACAACTGTAGTGTTCAAGTAATGAATTTGCATTTTTGTCTGTAACTCACAGCAGTTTCTGTAGTGGTGCTCTATGTCTTAGTGTGCACAAATCTAGGCCTATTTCAAGAATAAATTAAACTACCACCAGGAAAGGAAATTGTAAAAGATGATTGAATCCATTAATAGTATGAGCTCAACATGAAGACTGAAAATCCTTGTGAACAAGTATGGCTTTAGAGACCGATCAAAGAAAGTTTGCACAAGCAAGTGAGCCCTCAATGATACTCAGATACAAATGGATATGAAAACAGGTAATGTAAAATATGGTATATTTTGCAGGTTTTGATGACCTAATAAGCCATTGATGATCATAAAATGAGAGAAAGACACTATTATTGTAGAAAGAGAATATTCAGTTTGTACAGGGTTGGGTGATTAATGGTTAATTATGATGAATAATGACAACCAGTATACATTGAGTGTCGTATTCTGAGAACACCTTTATTACAAAGACAGCGAAGTACATTCAGGGTTCAGGAACGAATAATGAAATACCCAGCATGCTCATGTTCAACACTCATTGGCTGAATACTATGAATACTATGAAGGAGATGTGTTTTCTCATAATATCACTGAAATGACTGAAAACATCAGCGTTGTGCTACTTTACCATAAATATATTTTTATGTAAAAAAATAAAAATGGCGAATAAAACACATTCCAGAATAATTTCATTTAAATATCATAATTGCAGAGAATGGTACGTATCATCGCCCCAATCGCACGATTTCGCTAAAGCCGGCCATTCATAACCGACCCACGAACCCGTGTGTGTTCATGTTAGGAAAAGCTGTATTTCACTGCAGTTGAATTGAGTCATTTGATTGGGCGTGCCAAGAAACTGGCGCTACCAAATCAGCGATGCTGTATCATAAATTTGAAGATCCGGGGGTTATCACAGATTAAAACAATGACGGCGTGTAGACTCTGCGCTGATTCACCCAGAGTCAAGAACAGAAGGTCTATTATCTCCAGTAGACGCTATAACAGCCATGGGAAAAAGTTCAGTCTGGTTTGAAATTTGTTGAATATTTCACACATGGTGCGGCTGTAAGAGTGACGTGTTTGAACTCAATGTGATCAGATTGGGACATACAGACCACACTGTCAAAGATAACTTGTAAGTTCATTATGTAAAAAATGATTTAAACTGGCAACAAAGTCTTTAGGGTTAACATGAAGAGTTCCATAATCGATTTCTGAAAAATCCTTATTTTTTAAAATATGCTTTAAAAGATTCAGAATTTTGTTTAAATCAAACACATCATGATAATTAAAGTTTACATGCTCAAATTCTTCATTGGTTGCCATGACAGTATTCAGGTTCTTCATCCGTTGCTTAGCAATAGTATGAAGAAATGTAAATAGATCTGTATAATCCATTCCACTGTTTGCTTTTAGAATTAACTAAGAAAAAAACAATCAAATACCATATTTGCTTTATTAGTGCATCAGGAATAAAAGTGTATAAAAACAAACATTTATTTTGTTGTATACTGAATCATTAAAATATTACTTATTTTGACAATAAAAAAGTTTCTGTTGTTTACGTAAGTGTATGTGCTACTAAGAGAGCAAATTCAGTACAGTTCTTTGCTATGTTCAATTTCTCATAGATTTTTCTGAGAGTATAGAAAGATAGATGACGACCATTTCAAAATGGAAATCAAACTCCATGGCGATGTGTCAGCACTCTACAAATTTAAATATCTCTTTGATAATCAGAATGCATGGAGTACTTTTTTTTCTATTGAATGCAATCATGAGTATTTGTAGAATGTGATTTTAATTTTTACTATTTGGGACTAAAATACAATTTCGTCTAAAAGTTGATGAGAAATCCAACTGAGGCTTCAAAATGACTGTCAATCACATATCTATGCAAATTAGGTAATTAATATGCATGTTTCAATTGTAAACTATTTGAAGTACCCCACAGCACCTGTGCATCAAGTTTCATTGCATCAAACAAACAAATTTAAAATGTAATTTGAACCATATTTCATTTGCTAAATCATGATTTCCTTTTGTCATACAAGTAGTTGAATGCATTTTTGTAAACCTTTGTCAGCAAAACAAGACAGAAGTTTGAAAACCATCTGATCACCAACATGCTGTAAAGGCACTAACTATTCGTGAACTTAAAAGCCAAAAAATATGATCAAATTAGTGAAATTAAATGTCAGTGAAAATAAATTGTTTTACAGTACTTACCTGGCACTGTTTATGCCATCCGTCCATATCACGACAGTCTGCAATGGCGTCCTCTACAGACTTCAACTCACTCTGGATAAAGTCCCAGCAAATATCAACATTGCAGCCATTGATCCAGTTATGGTTGATAGAAATGGTGTCATCCTAAATGAAAATAGATGAGATAATTATGCAATAATTTGTCATATTGCATAAGATGTTGTAGACAGGTCCAGTTGTGGCAATAATATGATAATTTCGTTAAGAGGAAATTTGTAGAATCTCTCGCATTGACAAAATATTTTCATGACTGGTCGGTTTTGCCATGCTCACTGGAGTTTGTCACTGCATTTTTGAGGTGATAAATATGCTAATGAGTAGCATGACTTGTAACCTACCAACCAATGAAAAGACAGCTTTTGATAATACCTGTTCCATGCAACAACTAAAACGCATACATGATCCAGATGAATGGAATTCCTTGTGCACGCCTACTTTTCATAGTAATTTCACATTAGATCATGAATTACAAGAAAATAATATTACAAAATTGCCACGACTGGGTCAGTCTACCAATAGTGCTCAGTGCAGCTTGTCATGGAGTACTTTATTATTTTATTATATTAGTTTTAATACCAGTAAGAACAAATTTAAGTGCAATTCCTGTCTAAAAGTTGCTGAGAAGAGTATGTTTTGAACAGCTATGCGAGTTTTCTAAAATGATTGCCAATTATATAAGTTTATTCAACTCAGTATTTGACAAAACAATGGTGTACACAAGATGGGTGAGTTATATAGTTGTGTATTAGCCCTTGAATTATAGTCATTTAAAAAAACAAAACAAAAAAACTATTTATTATTATTATTATTCATGCCTTTCCCGACTGAAAACTATCATGCCAATTTCCGTTCATTCCCATGTTTTCCCATGCACTTATGAAATGGAGGTGGCATGGTACCTGATACTTAACAGATTATCTACGAGAACACAGTCCCTCTATAGACCTGTCTGGAAACAGAATGTATTTCTTTAAAACAGTCTCGTCACGGGTAAATAAACAATCCACACCTCTAGAGACGAATTGCAGCCATGTTAATATGCCCAGAATGCAAAGTGCCTCACTTTGAATGCATGCTTAGTGCATCGTTCGTGATTTCTTTATATCCAAAACATTGAAACCATGCCACGGAAAGTATGCAGTGACTTTATAGATTTTGATGATGACAACATTATGACTGGGATTTTGTGTTTGAAATGGCAGTTACAGTGAAGGAAACTTACGTTACTAATCCTGATATAGAGTTGATTAGTAACTGTCCATTTATTACTGACATCTATAGAGGGACTGTGATGAGCACATTTTTGTTTTCTATGAGCATGCAGTCATACAACATGGATTTTCCCTGCATACCATGTTGTAGATTGCCCCATGGGTCATTGGGCAAAGTCTATACAGAGTAAAAACTGTTAATACATTCAGTAAATACAGAAGAGTACATAACTCAGCAGTACCCACCATATTAATAACTTGATGATACCATCCACTTGGTACAAAGATGACTTCACCAGCTTCCTGTATTACCTCTAGCATCCCTGACACTTTATCATAATTTGGGTACTTTGTCCCATCATGCATCTCAGGGGAAGTGACATCATAAGCCAGGTTGCCATGGACATCTTTAAGATTCTGTTCTTGCCCAGGGGGAAATAAAAGCCACTTTTTCCTCCCACAGACATTGGCAGACCAGCTGTATGACCTGAATACGTCAGCATGGAATGGCGTCCTATCGAAACGAACATTATGGAGAATAGGTTTTGTTTTTTTGTTATAATGCGTGTCAATTAGATACCTGTGCTCCACAATTTTATTTGCAATTTGTATATGCTAGAATGAGGGAATGTTTTGTTGATCCAAACTGGGGCATACCATTCATAGCATAGGGTTAGAAGATGCAACTGTATGAGAATATGAGAATTACTTTTCGCCAGATTTATTGTCAAAGTAATTTACTCTTTCAACTCAAAATTTCTGTACATTTTTTCTTACCGGTACTTCTGTTTAGTTAATATAAACATTGAAGCAATATTATTGTTGAGTCCAAGGTGAAGGGTGGGATGAATTCCTACAAATACATGGCATACCCCAAGTTGTTTAGATAGTACGGTAAGTTGTATTAGTTGGCCATACTTCTGTATTTTCATTGCTTGGATGTCAGTTAGCTGTTTTGCAAATTAGGCAGCAAATTTGATAGCCATCTTGCAAAAATGCAGTTACATGGACATGTCTTGCTATTGATCAATAAATACAAAAAAATTGCAGCTAATTTACTGAAATTGTATTGAAAACTTGAATCTCATCGCACAGACAAGCACTATACGAGCCCTAGATGAAACTGCATGTTAGGTTGACACACATCGGTAACTTAATTTACCGGTAGTCATGAATATTTCCTGAGATCCATGCTCATTCCAAACATTTTCCCCCACTTCATCCACAAAGCTCACACAAGAAAGTTGGTTAAATGTTGACTATAAATTGGTCTGTGCAACAAATGTTTGCCACAAAATTCAAATGATTTGATTCCAAATTTGAATTTATAGTTTAATGTTGAAATGCCAATGTTTCAGAGAGGAATATGGATATCTTTATCTCATTAAATTGACCATTATCAAACGTGTAGAACACATTATTAGGTATGGAAATACTTTGAAAATACTTTCCCATTTATTGAATCCTATACAATGTTTCATTTAACGTCACCATGGGGAAATAACCTTTGTTTGTCCTGTTCTTACGTTCAATTTCATGTATAACATGGAATATTGTAGTGAGTGGGTATGATTGTTCTAAACCCTCTTTCTACTTATTTTGAGTTTAGTGAAAGCATTCATAGTCCTTATATAACCATACATATATTTTGAAGGAAATGGCAAGAGTATCGGTAAACCCAGATTCAGCTTAAATTCCAGTATAGCAATCAAGTTTACCATGATCCTTTGGGTCCCATGTAGACAAATTTGTAATCATCTATTTGGTCTTCTCTACTTTCCCAGAATTCATTCAACCAATCCGACAGGAAATACACTGGAGTCTTGTATGCAGTATATCCCGGATACTCCCTGAGTTGAAAATTTAAAACAAAATTAAATTTATGATGAATAATTGATAATAGACTGTGAAACCTATGAGTAGTAACCACCCACAAAACCTTACCAAAATGGTCTTTATATGGAGGATTAGTTATTTTTTTTATTCATCACCAACTCATACATTTGATATATTTGTCCACAAAATAATGGAGTGTTACTATGACAAAAAAAAAAAACATTCATTTGATCAAAGTCGAACAAGTTTGATTCAGAAAATTCAAAATTGAGTAATAAATGGAATGCTTATTATTACTATGGTGGTATTTGGTATCTTAACGGTGAATTAGTAAAAATACTGGGTAGTGCTGAAAAGGTGGTCACTATAGGCAGGTGGTCTTTATATGGATGTGGTTGCTAACACAGGTTTGACTGTAAATACTTTTTACCCATGTATAATAGCAGCGTAATAAGTAATAATTTCAATATCTCCATACTATAAGATTTAATCCCAGTAATCTGATTGGTCCATGCACACAGATTGAACTTTTGATGTATCATGGGGTCACAATCACAACATGAGCCAACATTGCAATCAGTTGGTAGTTTTCTCCTTTTCTATATTTCATTTTCTTAAAAGACCGTTAGAAATTAGAAAAACATGAAGGCTCCATTTTTGGTAGTTTCAGTGAAAATGTATTTGTTTACTTATCGTCTGCTGACTCTGCTGCTGTTTTTTATTCATTCATTCTGACTATCCATGAAGTAACATTTCTTACTTTTCAAACTTCAAGATAAGTTTAATTATACTGGTTACTTCCAACAGAATTGGAGTAAATATTACCTGTTAAAGTGCCAGTCCTTGAGGTAGAGACATTTCCTATCAGTTGAATAATCACTATCAATGTAATCTTTCCAATATTTTATATAATCTGTGAATAACATATCTTCTTTGGGTTGAGAATCATAATGTTTGCCAGCACAGTTAGCAACTGGCACCACAGCTCTGCCTGGCAAACAAAATAAACAACAGTTTATAAATCTCTCACTGTACATATTCTAAAATATAATTGGAAGTCATGCATTTTTTGTTTGTGGGCAGGCAAATATTATTGGTCGACAATAAAAAAAAAATATATCCCATTTAAATGTACACGTTTGGTCATAACGAGGGAATGGATCACAGGTGTTTGACAACGTTAGTGTTCTATCCCATACCGGTGTACACAGCTGTAATTTAACACAATACTAGTGAGTCTTTCCAGCTCCCGGACCAGTACACAAACAAAAGACTTGGGAGTGTAGAAAGCACCCATTACTGCTCTGCAATACACAAAATTACTCACCAAAACGGTCTTGCAGAAACTTAAAATTTGGTCTCCCCTCTTCCGTAACCCAATCTTTAACACTTTTCCAACAAGAGGTTACCTGTGAACCAAATAAACATGGCTGATTTGGTAGCATGTACTTCACAAAAAACTGGCTGTAGTGAAGTTCTTCAGTGATAACGTCGATGGCCGATACTTGACTTTTGCGAACGTCGTTCACATCAATATCCGACGATTTCAGAAAAGTGTCATGAGTCAAGTTTGCTGCATCCATCTTCATCAAACGTTGTCATGGTAACAGTTTCCTTCTCGAAGAAAGTAATTAATTTGTTTAGCTCTGGCAGATTTTTTTTTTTTTTTCAAAATGCAACTTTTCTCAGCCTAGCTGGGGAATTGTAACGGCAACAGGATAAAGAGGTAACCGTTGAGTGTGGCCAGAGAATGAGCACGGAAGGTATTTATTCTGCTGCTCACTGCACTCGTCTGCTGGCGTATATAAAACACGTGACCTTCAGCTGACTTTCAATAACCTATGACCTTGCTGCTTGCAAGGCACCTTGGGTAAAATGACTGTGCGCATGCGTAGATGAAAGCTTGCCCTCGTGGTTGAAAACATTTAAAATGTTGGTCTTGTTTGAAACCGCGGCTGGTTATGCCATTTTCAAGGTATGGTTTTCATTTTAGTTCTGCCAATCTGTAAATGTGATTTGAAGTTACTTTCATGGTTGTTATGAGAGTTGTTACCTGTTTAACTGAACGGAATGGTCGTCCAACGTGTGACACGCATGGGACACTGCGCTGCGCCATCTTGTATCTTTGAGCGATCGTAATCGTTTATCGTATAATTCCACCACGTGTGAAATAAAACTTCATTTTGCTTTTGTTTTTGATACATTGACAGGTCGCTGACATGCGTAACGCAACATGTAGTCGTCCGGCTTGTGTACTGTTTTGCAAGCCTACCAAAATTGCAATGACCTTGATCTTGATATGGAATACACCCCGGGGAATACACGTGTTTTCATCTTCTTTTTTTTCTTTTTTTTTGCAGCTTCTTGATGAAAAGAAGTTAAAGAAAGTTGATAATTTATATCAAGATTTCCAGACTGCTGAAGGAGCAAGTAAAGTGTAAGTTCATCATGTTCTGACTACTCCTTAAACTGCTTGGAACACCAAAACGGCAATATTGGCAGCCAGTTGACTGGTTTGCTATGCGCGTCTCTGACTAGCCCTGCGAACAGTGCTGTGTGTACGGGGACGCGTTCGGTTGATAGATATCCCCACCACAGCCCTGCGTACGGTCCGGGATTTTGAAAATATAACTTTTTTAATG